TGTGTGTGTGTGTGTGTGTGTGTGTACCGAAGACGTGGTCGTAATTATTCGCTTTTCTAGGTAATTTATTAGTTGTCGCTTAATTACTACAATCTCGCGCGGTCGAGAACCAGTCGGGGAGGGGATGACAAATTAGGGCTTCGGACCCTTTGGTCGTGGGTGTGCGACGTTTGTGTGCTGCTTGTGTGGGTGAGCGTGCGTGTTTATACGTGGTGTATCCGAATCACCAGCGATAAAGTTGGCGGTTTAGAAAACAGTGGCCGGACTTAAGAAAAAAATAACCTCCTCGCAATGTAATAATTTAGCACAATATACCGCACTCAATTGCCGGCTGGAGGGCTCGTCTGAACTACTGTGGCGTTCGATCGTTGGTTTCCTGCAGACGTCGTTTATAATAATATTATAATACACACGATTATTTCCCGGCAACGAATCTAAATCTAAAATTGAACCATTCATTTTTAAGTTTGTATACTAAGGATCAAAGGTCCACGATATAACAGCCTTAAAATATATGAGGACTATGAAGATTTTTAATAGTTAATATTAATCCATCAATATATTATTATAATTTGAAAAACTTGTCCCAGTAAAATAAATACAAAATTCAATAATACGTAATATATTTTACTAAACTAAATTTAAAGACTTTTAAAGTACCTGTACATACATTTTTAAAAACCAGAAATTTTTAATATGAATTTCGATTCAAAAACATCAACATTTTCAAAAAATATCACACATTTTTTTGCAGACGTATTCCGCAAATGATATTAGTGGTTATTAGCACTTTTTATCAAATATCGTGTGCGTAGAAATTACCGAAACTAATTTTACTGTATATTTTATCATATCAGAATTCTATATAATTTTTAAAATATTATCTACGATTCGTTGGTTAAATTGTTGTTAGCATATTATATTATTATTGCTAAACATTTTTTATCCAAACATAGTATTGTCTACTTGAAACGATCATATCCATATTAATGTATTTGTAGCACATTACGTGCAGTATAATTATACTACTCGGTTTTCGTGAACAATTATAAATTTACTATTTTCATAGAATGGTATTTTTTTTTTTTTTTTATCCATAATTGAATAGTTTTTGTAACTTGTATAACGAAATCATAATTCTCGTAATAAATTAAATTTATTTGCTGTTAATTATACACTCAAATCAAACCAATTTTTTTTTTTGAATTTGAATGATAACTAAAAACAGAGAGAACTCAAATACTGAGCTAGGGACATCATGTATGATGTACACATAATCTGTTTATATATTTGTGTCGGGAAATGACAAACCCATATACCTTGTATGGTATTATATAATATCGCGAATCTATCAAAAAATCGGTATTTTTAATCCTGAAATACGTCAAAATATGTAACACGGATCGTAAAGCGTATATAATAATATTATATTATAACGAATAGTGTACGTTTATATTGTGTATGACGATCGCAATGCGTTTTACCATCGATTCCTGTCAACAGAGGTGTGATCGATTGTCCATTACAATATTATGTACCTAACGGTATCTGAAAAACGTTATCGGCAGGATATTTAAAAAAATCGTAATCGACGTTTATTAAAAAGTTATTTTTATCTCGACGTTTATACACCGTAGAAGACACGCAGCACAGCTGAAATCGTTCGCAAAACTGATAATAACAGCATTATGTTTTAATCGTGTTTCGAAATCACGACCTCCGCGCAGCGCCCACTCTTCCGGCATGCCGATAAGTATTTTATAACAAAAACGTGTCGGCAGATCCAAAAACACTATAGGTAAGTACGGGTAGTATATACTAGGTACTGTACACACACATGTATGTAATCAGTTTTTGAAGTACCTTTTTTTTCGGCGCTTTAAAATAAAAAACGTCTTTGCACACTGTTCTTATTGTTTACAGATCGGCGATCATGTAACCCGGATTTTCTAGTAAACACAAACTTGTGTGTGTGTGTACACTTCTTTTTTTTTTTTAATAGAACAAAACTCGTTGTGAATCCGCCGCGTAACGTTATTTTATTTTATAAACGNTTTTTTTAATAGAACAAAACTCGTTGTGAATCCGCCGCGTAACGTTATTTTATTTTATAAACGGTAAAACAACGACGAAAACCATTCGAAAATAGATATCGAGTAGGAACGTATCGGAATTTACCTATCGCCATCGCGAAAGCAAATCACATTAGATTCGTGCAGTTACGATTCACATTATGTTCATGAACCTTTGCACCGCGTCAACAACGGGTTGCAGAGTAAAATATTAAGGTGGCCAAGAAAAAAATGTATCGTGATGTATCAAATTAATTAAATTGTTTTCATTCAAATTCTGCATTCTTCAATAGTTATAGGTACAACAATTATGAAGTACATTAAAATAAGGTTTACACGATCGAAGAAAATATCCATTGATATTACTCTACGAAATATATAATATTTTTAAACGCAGTAATATTACTATAGTAAGTTTACTAGAGATTATCGGAGTATTGTTTTTTTTTCAATAAAATTGATTTTAGGTATGAATAATAATTAGGTTAAAAAATATCCGAAATATTTAATTTTCTGCCCAAGAGTTGTATCGCCTAGGTCTGTACTATTATGAAGAAGATAAATTTGATATTAGAGGATTTAAATGATTATGTAGTTTTTATGGAATGCATCGTAGAAATTAAATGCTCGATAAGAGATAGTCATTATGTTGAAGTCACTATGGAGGGTTCGATTACTAACATACCACAGAGCATTGGTTGTTGTTCCGAGGGATATTGACTGGAAAGATTGTATAATTTTTATACTTGAGTATTTGGATGCTCCCCAAAATTGGATTCCACAATAGAAGCCAAGTGGACAATAGTAGTTTGTAAGATATATTAATTAATAAAACTATAATGTAAATATAAATCTTGATAACCGTAAACCACCAACCGCGTTATAAACGAAACTACACCGTACGTGTTAGATTAGATTATTTTGCTTTGAAATTAACCTTTTTTGGTGCTATTTGATCTGTAGGTTTCGTCCAACAGTTGTACCTTTATTATTATGTTATCCGCCGTAATTTTTTATTAGTTTAATAATGCTGTCTACAAAATATGAAAATTACCTCACCAATATAATACTACAGACTGATATATTTCTAGTCGCACATACACGAGGCGTTTCTACCGTGTTTGTGTTTCGGTACCAGTCACGCTGGGTCAATGAATGTAAATGATTTATTACAAACACAGTCTGTGTTACTAAAATTTCACCCTGAAATGTACTCAGTGTAAAATCACTAAAAATTCCTATACGACGTCTGATCTTAATTTCAAAATCATAAAATAGATTCAATAAAGAGCATAACACCTATACGTAAATCATCGAATGTGCAGTAGACTGTACATAATATTTTAAATTTGACGTGTGCCGTTTAATCACTTCACGACGTCGTGGAATCGTTACCCTTAACGAATTATAACTATCGATCGATTTCCTCGTGATCTAAATGTGTTCAATATAATTAATAACGAAGTTCAAAACACACCAAATACCGTCTGTATTTATTAGCCAGTGAGTGATTTGGAAAACCATGTAAGGCGCGTATTTTTTATTGGTGATTTATCACGATTTCTCGGCATTTTACCTCCATTTTTGTATTTTTATTGCCCATACAATAACGTGGTGTACAAGTGTAAGTTAAAGCCTAATTCGTTGTATTTAATTTAACGACGCCATAATGTTGAAATATTATTATACGTGTAATATTTTATAATTACGTATATATGCGCCGTAATAATATTATACATTATACTTTGCATTTATTTCCTACTAATTAGTATGCAGTATGGTAACCGGCGGCTTACTTTTATAAGCACCTCGTTTCAATTATTTATTGTTATTATTATTATTTTTTAATTAAGTTTTTTCTCCCTCCGAACGTTACACTCAGTTTGTATTACGTAGATTTGTGTATTAATTAATTTTTATCAATTTTTAGTAAGCACTGCAAACTCCCATTAGAATTGGTATTCAGCCTATTAAGGTGGATGTATACTTCTGTCTGAGATTATATTAAAGCAGTTCCGTAACATCTACATGTATATGATCGCTTATAAGTTATAATCGAACCAAACGAGTATAGCCTTTAATACGGAACGATTCTATTTCAAATTTATCTATATAGCGTGCCTTCCAAAAATGAAAAATTGCTTAGAGTCCTTTCGATTAATTTCGTTTAACCGACAGAGGTCAGATTTTGTTCCAGCTGCAGGTACATATATAATAACCCATGCTTTATATACCTACAGTCTACACATTTAACAAAATCGGAGATAAATTTTACTGTGTCCAAGTAGGTATAAATGTACGACTGATATAATAATACTACCTAATAATAATAATAATAATAATAATAATACGATGTCCCTCGAAACCAGATTTTATTATACGGCTTATAATATGTGGAGTACGAGTTATACAAAATAATATATACCAGCAATAAAACCGGCCGTTATTATTATTTTTTTTCGTTTGTTCCTCGTAACCAGTAACCGGATTTTATGTTTTATTCTCCAGGTCGTTGGTATTAATGGCCATTATAGTGGGCACGTCATATTACGTGGGCCGGAGTCAAGGCAACTCGACAGTTATTCAACCCGCCTCGGTGGTATCCACTTTGTTGCAGCTCAGATGGCCCTTGCAAAGTCAGTGTCACGTATTTGTATTTATCTAGTGATAATATATTATACGATATACGAACGAACTACTTATATATTATGATAATATAAATTGGTGTGTTTTTTTTTTTCATGCTCTTAATTTCGCCATGGCGTGCTCGCTGGGGGAACAGACGAAGCAGACGAGGGAATAACGGCGACATCAATTATTCAGAGGACCGTCGTTATAAATGCGACCGGGGACGACTTAATGTCCGCGGTGGAGGGAGGCTACAAAAGTTTGAAAGCCAAAGAGGATTTGGAAAAAAACTTTCCGACAATTGATGGCGGGACTCCATCATACCGTCATCAGCAAGTGATGAAGTCCGGCCCCGAATCGATAGGAATCGCGAGGAACGGTTACGTCGAAAACATCGCGACTGAAAAATTGAGGTCGGCGCTACGTCGTCAGACGACCCCTTGGCACACGCCCGTTCAACGACCCCACCCACACCACATCACACACCATCCCTTGCACACGCACGACCCTCTCCCGGCCAAATCCCGCTGCCAGAAACGTTTCAAAGAAGTTATTGCTTGTTTCTAGTTTTATTTTCTCTCCCAGACCGTATTATCTTCCCGGCCACTCTATAATAATAATTATATTATTATTATGTAACATTGCAAACTAGATTGTCATTTAAATTATTCTCTTATCCCTACTCGCACACCGACATACGTCTACCTCGTCAAAACATCGCGAAAATAATCTAGGGTCGTACATTAATTGTCACCGCTTTCCAAGCCGCGTAAATTGTTTTTATATCATTATGTTATGAAACGACCACGGCGTAATAATTATATAATGTGAGTACCACGATCAATCGGTTCGGTTTGAAGTTTTTCGCAATAACGAAGAATCTCTTCGCTGAGCACAAATCGCGATTTCGCGATACAAGGGCGCACAGAGCTGACGACGACGACGATGACGATGATAATGATGATAATGATGATAATGATGATGATGCTGATGCTGATGATGATAATAAATGGAAAAGGGAACGAGCAGAGGACCTCTTGCAACCCGATATGGTTTTTTGGGGTCGGTCACTGGGGACGTACATACGCTATTAAGTCCAACGAAACAACACCGCGCTAATAAAACAAAACAAAAAAAAATACATATAAAATTCTACCTTCATTACGACTACGTGCGCGTAAACCATATTAATTTATTCATTTTTTTTTTTTTTTTTAGTTCACCTACACTTTTTAGTATTTTTATTAGATAAACATTTTTAAAAGCACTTTTTGCACAATTTTTTTGTTTTTTAAACATCGAATAGCCTCCGAGTAGCTGGCGTGGACCTATAAAGAATTTCTATATCAAATAATTTAATGGTAATTATTATTGTTGGTAATTAATTTTAACACGATTATCTACCTATATATTATATTATAATATGCATTTAATTGTTTGAACAAAATACAACGCCTATGTTGATAACAAAATTCGAACCATATGCGATTTATATTCAAAACTGATAACATATTGTAAAAATTTAGATGCATAACTGTATGTATGCTATATTAGCGCTTGTCATCAAAATCGTAAATGAGTAGAGCCGTAGAGATCAAAGTGACAGACATCGATATAAGAGTAGGTAGGTATGATAACTAATCAAATATTATATTATTATTTAAAATTATATTATCGGAACGTTTCAGAGGCAGCTCATACTGCGATAATCAAACGGTAGTAGAGAGAAATACTGAAATGAAATTGTAAATATCGTTAGTCTATAATGCATTATACTGTGGCTATATTATAATATTATATAGTTAGCAGCGACGCTGTCTGGGTATAATATTGAATGACGAATTAATTGATACCTGTGCTGTGTGTAAATATTGATTTTATTTACAATCACCTAATACGATATATTATATTATATTAAATGTTTGTATAATATATTATATTAATATATTGTGCGTATATTTACCACCGTGGAATAATGCGAATTTACCAAATAATGTGATTAACGACGACGTTGATTCGGCCGTAATAATCGAGCACGAACCGTTGTTCCAATCGAATTTTCGAATTTGACGTTTTGGACAGTGTCGTTCTTCCTGTCCTATATTTTAACGTTTAACCATTATAGTTGCAACGATTTACGGGTTACAGCTTTATGTGGTATTTATAAGCTTGAGATAGAGACGTTTCTATTTTGTTTTTAAATTCCGAGGGAGAGTCTGTTTTAAACGACACTGACAAAGTCAATCGGAATCGATTAAACTTTGACGAAGAGTTTCCCAAAGAAAAACGTGTTTTCTTCGACAACTTTTTAAAAAACTAAGAAATTCTAAAGATTTAAATTACCGTCCAAATAAACCGTCGATAGGGTAATTATAAATTTATTTAATTAATATAAAGCAGTAAACGGGCGTCACAATATTATCGCCAACGATAAACTTACCATTATAGTATCATTCGCCGATCGAAATAGTTTTCGAAATCTCCGCCACATCCCTCTACCTCGCACTTGCACGATTTCGACTTTCTACCACTGCAGACTGCACCGCAGTTATGTCAAAATTCACGGAAACCAATCCAAAGACTGAGCCTGCGTACAGGTATTTAAAATAAAAAATTGTTTTCGTCTTCCGGCGATTTAGGCTGCTGTTAAATGTGACAAAAGACCAGGACGTTATGATATTGGCGGGAAACGTGACCGTTTTCAACAACTCCGAGTGCACGAGTCCCGAACCAGTGATTTGCCCGGTGCAGAGTCGTTACCGGACGGTGGAGGGCATTTGTAACAACGTCTTGGATCCGCTCAAAGGTGCGGCTATGATGCCGTTCCACAGAGTATTGCCAGCTGACTATTCAGACGGTACTTATTTATATCATTATTACAAGTTTAATTTATTATTAGACATGTTACGATAATATACTATTTTAACGTCGTTGTCGAGAGAGCTGTGGGTGAGTTGCGTCCCGACTAGTTGTTTAAGACGCCAGAGGCTTGTGAATTTGTCATTGTTTTTCTTTTTTCATTCAATACCAATATCCGTTGTTCATCAAAATAATTGAAAAATATTCTTCGGAATATAAATTCAAAAATGGACTGTTTATTTGCACAAGGTCCCACTAAACATAAAATGTAATAAAGATAACATTTTCTCATTTCTTCATATGCATAAATAAATTAAGTTTTATAGTATGCGTATATAATATTATATTATATCGAATCGTTGTACTCATTTTGTACGCAGCTCGCAGTTTTGATCGATTAAACGAGTACCTTTGGGTCAAAAACAATCATCAAAAATCTTACTGTTTTCAATTTATTTTCAAATCCTCTTTCACAGAGTAGTTAGCAAATCATCATAATTGAAAAAAAATTAATATTTGTTGGACCTTCCGAATATCAATAAAACAACATTGGCTGTTGACCTACTATTCTGCATGCTCAAATATTTAGGTACCTACGGATTTGTTCCAATCGAGAGTTTAAACATTCTTTTTTTCTATATAATTTTTCTACTATATTCAATACTGTCGTCGTTGCTCGCGAAAACAGTTTTTTGAAACCAAAATTAAATTAAATTATTATCAAGCGTAATCCGTGAGCCTACCAGAGCGGACCGATCGAAAAGGTTTTTTTTATCAAATTAGAGAGTCATTATTATTGTTTCTGCTGCGTATGTACAAATGTGCATGGATGGCCATATATCATATAGTAATAGTATAAAACTAATATTTAATCGCACATATATGGATAGCACATATATCATAATAATAGTATAGTACTAATATTCGATCGTGTATGTTTTTGAGATCTAGCGTGAAATTAAAATTATAAAAAATTGTCAATAAGTCTAATTAGAAAAAATAGTAGCCGAAGCATGACGAATTATTACTCGGAGTAGGTACACTAATCAGCAAAAACAGACAAATATTTGAAATTCGATAATGTACTTTGAAAAAAAAGAATATAATTATAATCGTGATGGAAAACCCTCTGCAAATCTAAATCCTTTAACAAACGGATCGTTTTGAACAACGTTCAACAAAAATAGTGAATAAAAAAAATATATCTTTATAATAATATAATACCTATGGTGACCGCCGCTGCCGTATAATGTATAATCGTAGTGAGAGAGATGCTCTTGGATAGCCGCAAATGCCTTCATTTAAAAGTGATAATTATCATTATTTCATTCCGTTAACTTTTTAAAGAGTGTGTTTTAAAAAATTAAGTAAAAAACGCAAATTAAAACCATGGCTATAAAAACAAAAAAGAGCAATAAAAACAGAGTAAGTGTACTTATTCGCATACACTTAAACATTGTAGGTAGACTTTTTTTTTCCGGTTAACACGAGTAGGTACATAGGGTTTTTAAAGTAATGACGTACAACTCGAATAAAAGTGGTAAAAATGTATTACTGAGATTTAGGTACGCCATAATAATAATTATTATATTTCTGTTTTTTATATAAATGAAATACGTTTAAAGATGAGAGCTGCGCACACGTGGTGGTTATATTTTTTTTCATCACCTACTCATTCTTTTTTTTGTCATACCCAGTACCCACACGAGCAAGTGTTTGTTTGAATGGAAAACACAATTTCAGGGATGTATTATTATTATGTTTAATAAAGAAAACACTATGCATAAGTCACTGTGAATTCGTACTTATATAGTAATATGAACACACTTGGGTACTGATACAATTGTATTATCAATTAATTAAAAACATATTACACAGTAACTTTAGATGGCTATAGTTTTTGATCATTATTAATTTTAACAATGAATTGTATCAAACAATAAGAATTACTATACCTACAACGCCGCAGGTGTGGATAACTACAAAGGGTAGCCAGGTTGGGAAAGATACTGAAAAAAAACATATTTTTTCAATTAGGAAAGTATAAAACTGGTCTTAAACCATAAAGATACAAAATACTTTACATTTTTTAGTTACCTTTTTTATTAAGTTAAGTTTGTTATGCAATTTTCATTATACGGTGTATCATATTATAATAAGTGTATTATGTTTTAAACAAATATTGATTAACATAAAGGTATTGAATTTTAATATGATGTTAATACAATAAAATGTCGTATCAAACCAAAAATATAAAAATATGATCTTTTGTAAAGTCATGATAACTCTTTTGAAAAAACTAATGTTCAAAATGTTTTATCAAACAAACTTGATCTGATTGGAGTATATTATGTAAAACATGCATGTCAAAATATCTAATAAGTCTAACATATAACACAAATTGTACGAATACCTTTAACACAGTTATAAATAAGAAATCTATATTGGAAAATATCTTTGTATTTCTAGTAAATATATTTAAATAGTTTAATGAATAACGTTTTTAACTATGTATTCTACTGTAACTTGTGTCTTTATTCAGAGAAGGATAGGTTACTGGTTAGGTTAGACGTTATAATAATATAGCAAAATCCAAAGATACAACATATTATACAAAGACGTGCGCTATTATGTAAAATACAAGTTGCCTATGATATGCAGTATGTTTTCTTGCATTCTCGATATGAATATCTAGGGTGAGATTAGGACTCAACCTCATCAGTGGCATAATATATATTAAATACTAACTGACTGCATGATGTTAGCATAATATTAATCATAGGCGTATAAAAAAATAGACCAGAAATATTAAAAAATACGTGAAGCTAATATATGACCATACGGCCATTCATCTAATCCATATAAATTTGCGTTTTTCAAAGAAACCATAACTTAGCAGCAAAGGTATATTATAATATCTTCTCATTGTATGTCTCTCTAGCACACATAATGGCTTTAATTTATTATACTAACACAGCTACAAATGTTGATCTATTCTATTAAATATGTCTATGATATTAATATTACAATTTTGAAAAAATCATATAGCAATATTGATTTCAACAAACATGTATATTAGCCAGTTAGTCCGATAGCGAATATGACACAATTAAATGAAAATCGAGGGATTCAATAACAATATACGGAAGTATAGTAATAATACGATTGTAATAAGGGACACCGCAAAAGGGTTATGCAGTGCAGTACATATGAAATGAATTTGAATTCTACCTACGATGTGCACATATGTATACAATCTCCCGCTCTAGGGCGGACACATGGCAATTGTAACAAACACGTTTTATTAAATCGTTAGATTAATGAATCTGTTTTATTGACTCGCAGGCGTGTGGAAACCGAGGAAAGCGACTGACGGTTCGGAGTTGCCGTCGGCCAAACAAGTCAGCGAGGGTGTGCACCGACCGTCGTATGAAGAAGATCACGATTTCACCGTCATGCTGGCGGTCTGGGGTCAGTTCATGGATCACGACATTACTGCCACCGCGCTGAGCAGAGGTGAATACTACAAACGTTTTATTAAATTTTTGGTAAAATTATCAACAACAATATAATATTATATAGGTATAGTATTAATTATTATACACGATAACACGCGCGCCATAGTATTTTTCAATAAGCGTTTCAAACGTTTTAGTTTTAAACAATTTTCGGACGAGGAAAAGTTTCAACGATTTTGTTTTTTAATATCTATCGTATAAATAACAGAAAACTTTTGGTTTGTGTATTTTTAAAAGCTGCTTTTTGTGGCTGATAATTATTATAAACAAGTTGTGTGGGTTTCGGCCTTTCGTATGCATTAGCTTGATTATATAAATATGAATGTTATTTTTTTCAATAACTAAATCATGCTTTAACTTACTGTAGATCAACTATTTTGAATAGTAATGATATCACGGTGAAACTAAACAAAATTATGATGGGTATTTGAATATTTCATTTGAATTAAAAATATGTAAGCTCGAGACGAAGCTGTACAAAGGTAATTATTTTTTTGGTGGTTATTAAAATGACAAAATAAAAGTGACTATAAAGTATGTTTCAAAATCCAGAAGCTTTGTCGAGATGTATTTAATGTTAATTTGATTTCTAAGTGGAGGGTAAATAAATAAACAACATTATGTGAGAAAGAGGCTATGTTTTCAGATGATATTTTAAATTCAAATCCGCCTTTAAAATATAAATTAAATTTTACTTAAACATGAATCATGATATATATATATAGGTACTTATTTTCTTTTTTTTTAAAGCTGTAGGTACACCTGAGGTAGATATTGTGTTAATAATTGTCCTCCAAAACTTAGTTATGTATTTTTGCATATTATTTTAATCAAAGTTTGAAACACTTTTAGGAAACGTTTACTACATGTTGTCGGGACAAAATAAATTACTTTGACTTCACACGACTTTTTACATTCTAAAAAGTTTAAGTTACTAGATCCCCTAGAGAGAAGTCATATAATTTTAGACGTAGTGTAGTCAAATATTGTGACTCGAATTGTAAAAAATATAGACGTTCTCTATATTGGTTGAAACTAAGTTATGCCTCGTACCCTAGAGGGGCCATAGAATTTTGAACAAAATTTATAGTATTTTACTCTCAGCATATTAGGTATGTCAAGTCATTTTTCCTGACATATATTATGTATGTATTGTATATATTTATATAAATTAGAATAAAAATACATAGTATTTTCGGTTTTAAACAGTGAATTATCATCGGCTGTTTCTTCGTAGGTACTTATGTTACTATTTTTTCAATAAATAAAAATGTTATTAGTTGTATACCCAATTTTATTTTGTAACAAATATTACATTAGGCAAATTATTATAAATTATTCATATTAGTAATCAATTATTATAAAAATTAGACCTACGAAGTATACTTAAGTTAATATGTAAGTTCGGGCATACGCGGTATTAATTTACTATTATAGTCTATAAATTATTTGTTTTTATCAAATTGTTTTGATTTCATTCGGTTTTAATTATCTTAAAAAATCTTTAACAATAAAAATATGTAACAATTTCGATACTATTAGAATAATTTGAACGTTAAAATATAGAAACATGGTGAAATAGTATTGTAACAAACTTATTTTTGAGTAAATTACATAACCATGATAAGCAATAAGCAATAAGCATTGGTACCACAACTAGTTAGACATGATATCTAAGATATGGAAAAAATATCTAAAACATCCGATCGGTAGGTATTTAACATTTTTTTATTGTTACTATCCGTAAATAACAAAAATAATAGTTTAAATAAAATACTTTAACGCAATCAAAAATAACAATAAAGTCAGAGATTGGAGTTTAAATGAGTCTTAAATATACGGGTTTATTATAAGAACAAGTAAAAAAATACGAATTGCGTTAACTAGTTTTTTCGGTAGCCATCGTGAATGTCGATACGTGGTAAGCATATTTTTTAAAATATCCTGGTTCAAACCATAAATCGTTTTTTTTTCGCGAAACTACCTTTAGCTGAACAGTACTATTCCACCATAATATTTTTAAAAATTAATTTCAGTTAACCAATAACAAACAATTCAAGACGGAGTACCTATACTGGGAGGTCCCTTGTCGTTATTATAATATCTAGTATTATTTAACAATTATGTTCATTGTGCAACACATGTAACATGTAACAGATTGCCTGGATACAATTTTTTTTTTTAACCTTAAAATTACAAGTTCACATTAATTATACTAATGTATTACTTTTATACGGCTTATGAACGTTTCATTAAATAATATTTTCAAAATGTATATAAGATGTACTGGAAAAAAATTACTCATTAAGCGATCAACGATAATAATAATTATGCTGTCATGTTAAGCTTCATGCTTTCTGTCTTTATCAAACGATACTTTTTTATTTTTTTATAATTTTATTATTTATATTATGTAAATTATCTGGTGAAATATTATAAAAACGTCAGTTTTACGTAATATTAATCACCATAAACCCTAGCTATTATATACTACTATATTATATTGACATACTGTTAATAATTATTGTAAATTTCACTCTGCCCCTGTGTATTTGTATACTAATAAGTATACTGTGTCTCGCATGGTGAGCAGCTCGCTTTAATTTAATTTAATAAAATGTTTTTCTCTCCGTCTCCAATCTGTCTGCCTGCAGAAATTCAAAACCTAACCCACAAAAGTAAATTTATGGTTAACCTATGAACATTTTTTGAAGTAATCAATCGCTTAACAAAATTAATTCAATATTTCACATATTTTGGAAGATACTTCGAGCTTTAATGTGATATCGATAATAACTTGTATGACAAATTGACAATATTATATTGTCTTATTAACAAAGAATTCGTGGTTTACAGGGCGTAATGGAAGCGCTATTTCGTGCTGCGGATCGGTGGGCAAAAATATTACGCACCCCGAATGCTTTCCAGTGATCGTGCATGAAGACGATAAAAAGTGCGGAAAATGCATGGAGTTTGTGAGGTCTTCGCCTGCGTCTACCTGTAGTTTCGGTAAATATTAATGGTTCACCGCTATTTTTATGGCAATAGAGTTGACGATGACGATAGTAACTCATAATTTATATTTTACATCTACGAGTACAAAATATATTCTGTAGAAATAAACTGGGCAGGGGTGGACGTTTTTCAGAAGACTTTTAAGACTGGCGCATTTCTGTCGAAAACAAAAACGGTGTATGGCAGTCGCCAACACGTACATAATATTTTAGGATATTAAGTTGGTGGCCTTGTAAACAGTAAAACGTTGACATCGATTGAGAACCACGATTTAAATTTTAAGATACTCAACCTCAGTGATGCCCAATGTTTATTCTCGATTACGGCCTACGAAAAGCGCAACTAAATGGAAATTAATGAAGTTAAGCAATGCAGTATACTTTCATGTTGGATATATATATATATAATTATGTACAAGCTATACTTCTTCTTCCTATGGTTAACAGTTGATTTTCGGTGATAGGCACTGGCATCACTCTGGAGGCCAATTTCTAAACCTAGTTTAATACCCTGGATATCTTAAATCGTGGTGGGTAGTAGGTACGAAGAAAACGTACTACCGAACGTAATTTGAACGTTGACCTACATGAGTACTATAGTAGATACATTGACGGAAATATACAATTCCTCAACAGTTTCCGGAATAACTGCAACAGACTTCCAAGAAATTATTAATATTATAATATCTGTTGGTAATAATATACTCCAATAACGAGTAATGATTGTTGCCATATGCTGTTTTCGTTTTGCTTTTAGTCAATAGGATGTGGTTTCCGCGGTCGACCTTCGGATACTATACACAGTAATTCACCAAGCATGTTCACCCATTTTTTCTTCTTCAATAATGCATTTATTCAAAATCTGATTTTTGACATTTCTTTATAGCTAGGGTACTATAAGACCTTATCTTGATATTGTTAATAAATTATTTGGTGGTTATTTTTAATATATCAAAATCATAAATGGAAGATACGAGGGCTTCGCTGGTTTAAAAATTTTAGTAGTTATTTAAATATCAATCTATTAATATTTGTAATTTGTAAAAATGTTCAAAGTATAATAAAAACTAGATCCAAATATTACAAGTATTTTATATTTTTGTAAAACATTTTTAGGGACTATTACCATTAATATAAACATTTCAGCAACATATGAACTAGGAAATCGTTTAAATTTTGAATTAGCTACCTACATTAAAATTTTCAAAAAAACTATTGACAAAAAAAATTTGAATTAGAAATGGAACGTTCACGTTTAAAAAACACATGTTTATATATGACACTCATAAAGTGGTACGAAAAATCTCAAAAATGTCTGAAAATATTATACACTTAAAAATTCCAAAAATCATAATCTCTATACATTCAGGTGTTAAATGAAAAAATGAGGATGAGCGTGCATAGTGAAACACCTTGTATATTTTTTAACTCGAATGTTTCGTCAACCTCAGTCGTCGTAATAATAATAATTATAATAAAATCATGAAATCGGTCGTAATAATATATCGTTGTTCTGTTCACATCATTTCTCTTTAGGGCCCAGGGAACAGTTGAACCAAGCGAGCTCTTATCTGGACGGATCGTCCGTGTACGGCAACACACGAAAACTGCAAAATGACCTGAGATCATGGACTGGCGGACGAATGAAGGTGTTCGTAACTGAACACGGAAAACAGTTGCTGCCGCCCAACAAAGATCCCCTGGACGGGTGCAATGAAGAATCGGAAATGAAAAAAGGTCGTTACTGCTTTTTGTCCGGTAAGCTTCACTTATAATAATTATTGTTGTTATAAAAAACCACTTTATAGCTTAGTTACGTCCAGCCTCAGTATAATATTTCAAGTACATTTTGGAAAATTATTACTATAAAAGAGACGGTCTGTCTTTATTACTAAGTACCTACTATATTTTCACATATTTATATTGCTATTAATAATTATAGAAATTTATTTTACTCTTAATAATATGGTAGAAACTATAAATAGGCAATAGCTTAAAATTATTCTAAATACGTTTTTTGAAAATATCATTGCGTATCATAAAATTGAATAATTTACAGAAATGTTTTAAGTCCCAATAAATATTTTCGAATTGGAACAAAATAACTAAAATATTTGGTGTTTGTTTAAATATTCAATTTCATCGAAATTTAGGATTAAAATGTCTGGAATAAAAATTGAGCTAATAACTTTTTTAGAATTTTTGGTTTTAATAAGAACTACATATGAAAAACCTTGTACTAAATTGGCAAGCCAAAGCTATGAACAATTATTTCAAACTATTTTTTACAATATACAATGTGTATAAAATGATATCGTAATCATTTGGTGAAAATTTCAAGTATGAACGATCATTCCCTTTTTGTATAAGGATAAAATAAGAAATAAAAAACTGATTTTGCGTAAACATTAACCGTATTCCCCAATTATCGTTATTATTGTTATTATTATTATTTGTACTTCCGTACTGGGAATTTTTTGTTTTGACTCCCAAAAGTACCAATTACAAATTTATTTTCCAAATAAAAAAGATACTGCAGTTGAAAATTTAAGCATTTTTACTACTCCAAAAAGTGATGACAAACATAAAAAAAAAAATGTTAAGCACATATTTTGTAAAATCCAATACAATCATCACTCATTCGCTCAGAATCTAAAATGGCATATATTAGTTTATTGTCGTTTTTCGTGTGTGCCTAAGAGGTGTAGCTAAAAAAAAAAACGATGCGGATTCGATTATTTGATTAATTTTGTCCATGTAGTCCCTATTTTTATATCTTTAGTTTGCGCAAATATATGATAACGCACTTTCTAGATGCCAACACGCCAAAAATCGTGTTATTTTCTAAAGTTTGAATATAATATCGACATATCTAATAACTTAGAGATTTGATCACTGCACGGAGAATCGTAAAATATTTATATTATTGTAAAAATAAATCGTATGAGTATAAAATATGATATACCATACAAACTACAACGATATAATAAAGTGTTCCTCCAATGTTTATTTATTTAAAATGTCAGAGTAATGGATTTTACGTCATCCCCTTCTCAGCTTTAAATTAGTAAATCCTCGTGAGACACACTATATTATATAACAGTATATGATTATATAGTAGTTGCCACGTATGGCCTGTTTTACCCAGTTTTGTCCTGTTTTTGGGGGGGAGGGGGTAGTACTAAATTTTTATGTTTAAACACACACAGTAAACAGTGCGTATGTTTTATAAATAGCATAGTTATAAAATGAAAGCTGCACCCTTTTGGGGGTAACGGAAGGATACCCCCACACCCGTGGAAAATGAAAACATGTATTTTTAAATACTACCTGCTAGTTTTGAACAAATAATTATATAAGTATAAAATATGAACTTTACCTGTGGATTTTTTTTAAAATGTAATTTAAATTTTGTTTTCGTTTGTTTTTCTGCTTTTTTTTTAAATGTTATTTTTGTGAAAAACAAAATGTCAATAAATTAACTTCAAACTCGTTTTCGTTGACATCACAGGAGACGCCAGATCGAACGAAAACATGCATTTGACAACTCTCCATTTGATCATGGTGCGCCAGCACAACATGATTGCTGGTAGATTGTCATCCCTAAACCCCCACTGGGACGACGAACACATATTTCAGGAGACCAGGCACATAGTCACCGCTCAGATTCAACACATCACGTACAACGAATTTCTACCAGTATTGCTTGGTGAGTACACCTACCTGTTGTTTATAACGTCGTTTAGCTCGAAATAAAAACATTACCCACGGTATTTTGTGTGATTATTCTACATTTTATACTATTGCTATCTATCCTAAAGGAGCTTATTCATAGCTAAAACATATAGGTACTGAAAGACTTGAACTCATCGTATCACTCTTCTCTGCCGTATTTTTGGGTATAAAACTATACATTTTAATCGAAAAAAAATTAAGTAATTCGAATTCTCTTAAACTCACAATAAGGTTCTTTTCTTCTATTGCTAACGTCATTAATATATTTTTGTCACGTTTAATTACAATCATTTTAGTTTTCATTTTTTTATCTCCCACAAAGTCGGTAAAAAAATGGTTTATAAAGATGCGTATTATCAATATCCTTGCAATAATAATTGTACTTTTTTATTCCGATCATAAAAAGACTGTTTAACAATTTCATATTTCTAGTTGTCTTTCTTTTGGTTATAATAATACTTCTTAGAAAATTGTAGAAGACAGCTTAACGCTAAAAATGAACATATATTATATTATGTAGCTGTGAGAGCACAATCGAATAGGAAACGAGAAAATATGACGCAAACGTATTATTATGTTCAGAGGGATAACATTTTTCATGGGTAATATTAAAATGGTCATAAGAAAAATGATTGTTTACAATTTTCATTGCGAAAACCTTGTATAAAGTCGCAACGTCATGATATAAACAAGTTATATAGTACACCCATAAGTTTAATTTACCTATATTTTATTGTATTATATAATATACTTTACGATATGTTAAATTATTTTTTTGAAAGACTAGAGTGAAATTCAAGGAAATCGGGGATTACGACCAAATTGTCTTGTATTATTTCAAGAATAAAATTCTTTATGTCGAAATAAAAATATATTCTCCACGAAAGAGATATAATTTTGAGATATGATGACTTATCTGGTAAGAATATGAATTTAAATTGAATTTCATAAAGCAATAACTTTTTTAAGCGTATTTTAAAAATTGCAAAATATTTTAATCGTACCTCCCTATACTCTACGAATCGTATCAATAATATATCATACCGATACACATCTTTCTATTCTTAAAAATATGTTAGAAAATAGACTGGAATTAAATACCGATTCAAAAGTTTCCAAACAAGTAATAGTAATGAACTCATTGTTAAGATAAATTTGTTTTTTAACAGTTAAATAATGTTTTAAATGTATTATTAAAATATACAAACGCGTACTCGTATGTGTCAATGAAACTTTATTTTATATATATTCGAGTAGGTATATATTTATTTTCAAATAAGATGTGTATTCATTAAATGTTGCTAAATGTCAAAATCACTTAAAACTTTTCTTGACGTAATTTCCATAGCGGTATTCCGTTTGAAAAAGAAAAAATGCCATAAAAAATACTTAGGTAAATTATATTTTCAGTATTTAAGGTTAGTATGAACTTTTAGAAACTCTCTAAAAACGTACCTAAATACAACTATATAATGTAGAGAATTAATGTCTATATATATATTTAGGCTGCATGGAGACTATTCAGAAAAGAAACATGGCTCGTTTATTTCAAAGTTTTTATGCTTATTGCGCATGAACGAGTTATGTAATTGGATAACCTACGTCAAGTTAAGATAGCATGTCTGATCCCACTTATTTAAAGTTACAATTATACACGGGGAAAAAAAAACTTTTAAAGTAGAAAGTTTGCTATCTGCGCTGGTTAACAAGTCAATGTATCAACTATATTATTATACTTGTCTGGAAAAATAAACTATATAAAACGATTTACTGGTATACTGCATTCAGATGAAAACGAACAATTTTTTTTTTTAGATAGGTACTTGAAACGTTCTCGTAAAATAATTAAATAACTTTTAAAATAAAACACGCGAGCCTGCTTTTTATTAAAATCATTTATTATTCGTTTATTTTAGTTGAGTACATAATCTATATTCTAAACTCCACAGTATATCATAGGTATATTATTACCGTGAAACGTAACGTTTAACATGTAAATGAAATGTCACTGTCCAAAATTAAATCAAGCCTTGCAGGTCTGTAATAATAATTAATTATATTTATAGCCCCGTCAATGGCTATATAATATGTAATGATAACAAAACCATTTAATCGAAGCAGTGGTGTCGCTAATAATTTAATAATTGATCGATTTTTCTATATTTTATTCCAGGTGACAGCCTCATGAAGCGCCTGGACTTGTACTCTCGACAAACGGGTCATTGGAACGGATACAATTCTGCAGTTGACCCGACCATCAGCAACAACTTTGCGACCGCGGCCTTCCGTTTTGCCCACACTCTCATACCGGTAAATCATCTTCACTGTCATAAGTTCGTGTGTAGACTAGTAATAGATAATTATTATAGCTACAGCTGTCTGTATAATATATGACATAATATAATTCCAAACTGTTGATCGTGAGAGGTATAAATAAGAAAAATGCATTATCTCCAAAAATATTGGTCTGTCCTCAATACAGTACTTCAATTTAGTTTTTGGACTTCCCAGCTACTTTGATCCTTGGATTTGATAACGATCATAGTTTACACTAAACATACGATCGGATAGCAATTCAATTAATTGGACGCGTTGATAATTTGTTTTGTTTTTTGATATTTGAGTTTTCGAATATAGATATCAGAATAAAATGTCACGATAATATCCATACTATTCGTGACTAGGAAAATTGAAAAATTGAATGTTAGAGTAAAATGTATTATAAAAATATCTTTGAACTGCTGTAATGTAAAAACGTAAAAGTCACCTTATACGTTGTGGAGGTATTAGATAGGTATACATAATATATAATACGCCACCGAATATTATCCGTCGCAAACTGAAATCGCACGTAGTTAGTACTATATATATTATATGCGTTTAACTATGGTAAAAACTATATATATATATATATCACATCGGTACCCGTTTACCTAGAATGAAATTCAGATAGGTAATTCCGCAAAAGCCTCATTTAATCCGAAAACAATTTGATATCGTATTAGGCGGGTATTTTGTAAATGTATGTGTGTGTGTGTGTGTGTGTGTGTGTGTGTGTGTGTGTGTGTGTGTGTGTGTGTATATTCTCTTACTTACGAGTATATGGGAACTCGAAGCGACCCTACAACGATCCATGTCCCCTCGCCTGCACCACCGGCGAAAGTTGGCCGATTGTGGCCGCGGGATTACTCGGGTTTTTATTCGAATATATTTGCAATTTTAATTTCGTTTAAACGATTTCGAGATACAATATATAACAATATTTTAATGACGGCAATTATAGAAGTAATAACAATATATTATTAAAATAAACCAACATAATAATACCGTCCTCCGAAGTCTGTATATACTGTGTCGTAGTCACTAGCGAGCCGCCACTTGTTTACTCGGTATAATCATAAAATGTGTATAATATTTAAGACTTTTTTGTTATGATATGTTCTTGCCGCCGTCGTTGTATTATTATGATAATTTGATCATAACAACCGCCGTAAGACGCCAAAGAAACTATACATCCGAATATTGATTCTATGCCAGTTTCGTTTCAATACGCACAACACGTACGGTTAAACCGACGACGTACGTACGTAATATAACAGTAAAAGTAATACAAAACAACGAGCAGCATAACATAATATTATTACGAGGTACCGTACACCAGGTATGCGTTATTCACGGTAAATACCTGTATCCCACTACTATTATATTATATTATTATTATGTACACCACACCTATCCTGTGGCGGAACCAAACTTGATAAATGTAAAACGCGTATGTACATTATGTTTCGAGGTTTTCCGTATACAAGCATTTTTGAGAATGTTCTTAACATTAATATTCAATAGCTTTTGGAATTGGAAACCTATTTTTTGTATTTTACTAACTCAGGATTATAATGGGCACTTTGGAAAAGGATATAGCTATGTCGATGAATTTCAAACAAATTTTAACACTAAATGCAGCCCGAACATTTTTCGCTGTCCCCCGAGTACAATTATTGTAAAAATTTAAAAACATTCTAAGAAAAAACTAGATTCTACATCCTCAAATAAGGAAACACGTACAATATTTTAATATAATTAGACGATTAGAGTTGAAAATTTGAGATAGGAAAAATAGAAAATAAGTGCATTATGAAAAGAGTGATTCATAATTATTTACAATTTATATTTATTCTATCTCAGCATGGTTATTATTTTTCCACACATTCCTTTTATAAAATTATTATAGGTACTTACTTATTACTTGTGTTATACTTTCTATGTCGACTTGTCTTATCTACACCCAAATTAATTATTCCGATGCTGACATTTGATATTGACTTCATCCTAAAAATTATAAGTGCTAAAGAGCGCTATGCAGACATACAAAATTATCTTTTGAAAAAATGTAGGTTACAAAACAAAAAACAAAATTTTAAGTATATTTGCATGCTTTACATTTCAAGTATAATGTGGGTATACCTTAATAATTCTTGTCGATAACGTGTTTTGTCCTTTACCGTTTTCCATATTACCTATTGTTTAAAATGTTTGGATTGCGTAAAATTTATAATTTATCGTGATAAAGCATTTCCAACCGTTGTTTATATTAATTCTACATAATCAAAAATTAATATTCGTCGTATTAACTATTATTTTAATTTATACAGATGTGATAAATGGACCGTTAAATATTCGAGGTTATATTTTTATTTTTTAGCATTTGCGTTTTTCCCTTCGCTTGAAATAATTTATAATACTATGCATCACAGTGCAGGAGGGGGATATATTTTTTTGGGGAGGAGGGTTTTATTGATTCTCTAGTTTTTGCATTGCTAGAATACCTATACTTAGTTACTTAATGGCTGGCTCTTCGTTAGTAAAACGTTATTATTACACTAGATTGTACATTTTCCTCGTGGCTGTAAAATTATGTTAGCCACTGTAGTGGGCGTAGGTGCATTTAATATACCATATGTATTAGTATATTATTGTAAGCCACGGATTAATGTATTAATTAATATAAATATAGTAATATGCTTGTTGTTAACATAACAACTCTTTTTTTATTCAAATACATAGTATTACTGACAAGACCATAATGCTTAACCATTTTATCAAACGCATAATCTATATATAAATATAAAAACGAATGTATGTCTGTTTTTAAGCCATAGCTTACCTTACCCAGATGGGAAAGCTAAAACAAAAGAGATTATAATCAAGCAAATGAATCGTATTAATGATAACACTTATGAGGAATAAATGTCTGTAGACCCACTACGATAGTACGATCCACCAAAAAAAAATCATGAGAATGCACGTGGCCCCGTTACCCCCAGGCCATTATCATGCTAATGTCCCGTTCTGTGGCCATGCCAATTATAAATGAGTTCAGTTTTTGACTTATTTCTGAACACACGACAATAATAATTTATTATTATATTAAATATATTGTCAATTTATTATGTACTTCCACACAACAGTGTATATATATTGCCTATGTGACACGCCGTCTTACATTGTGAGCGTGCTGTGTTCTTCGAGCTTTGATCAACTTGGAGCAAGATAGTATTGTGATATTACATCATTGCAATGCAAATATTAGGACAAATCATTGTATTATAAAAAAATTATGTGTCCGTTTACTTATATTATGTCGTTAATCAAATGTATGGTAGCTAACTCATCAAAACCAAACAGTCCACTTTTATTGAAAAGTATTTCACTCTCATATTATGTATAAAATATCATAATGTAATACCATTTAAATGAATTTAAATGTGCATTTATTTATATAATTTAGTTCAATAACATGCATTAAGTAATAACTTAAAAGTATGTAGGTCAGGAATTTCGAATCACTTAATTTACTGATGAAAAGTAAATAGTGAACTTACCTAATACAACATTTAATATACAACAATATCTGTTTCACAGCCATAAAACAACAAAAATGCTAAAATGTTTTTGTCGACTTTTGGAAACAATCATTTCAGTTTAAATCAATCGAAATTATCAAATAATATATATATATACATCGTAATTATTAATAAATTAATGTCCCATAAAACTCAAGTAATATACATAGCATTTCCGTTTATCGTTACTTTATTAACTGCTAAAACTATTAAAAGAAATTTTAATGTGGTTTGTTGAATTTATGACTTTATTTTTGGAAAAATTGTGGAAATGCGGCGGTGACTGCTGAGTGCTGATAAATTAATTCGGGTAATTCGTGCGATATACCCTATGGCCTATATCATAATAATATATGGTTTAATACACTATAAACGCTATAGAGGTAAATGGCAATATTTGGATTCGAAATTAATTGATTGGTCTACAAAATCGTATCATACATTATATACATATATACTATCATGTAATATGTATGCACGAATTTGTGTACAAACATGACGTTACATAAATGTAATATTATGTAAAATTTGATGACGATGACGACGTACACGTAGTTCACTCGTGCAGTAGTGTTGTATAATAATAATAGATATATATGTATAGGTGCCGGATAGTAAATCATGGTTTATATTATATGGAGTCATGTACATATAAACAAATTTCGCACGGCACCAATATTGATATTTTATTAAATATTAAGTATAATAATATAGTATAATTTCAAATCGATAAGATACGATATAATAATCATCGGCTGTGCGATAGGAAAACGATGTGTGCAGAAAAATAATAGTGATTTTGCAAGACACCGGAAATACATAAACAACTTATAACGACAGGTAGTACACTTGTTGTTAATAGGAATCGAGAAAACTACAAGTCACCAAAATTAAAAATCGCGATAAAAAATGTTTTAAAAACGTATACTTGGCAGTCCCTACTCTCCCCTCAACACTCACGAACACACGACGCTCTTTAGCTGATTAGCTGTTAAACGATCGATACAATTTGTTTATTTTCACAGAGCATGATGAAATTCCTTAGGGACGACAACAGCGATCCCGAATTCGTCGAAATGAGGAAAATGCTGTTCAATCCATACAGACTTTACACGTGCGGCGGCGTGGATAGCGTCATTCGTGGAGCGATGAATACAAGCGCCGGGAAATCGGATGCCTTTTTCACGCCCGAAGTAAGATAATAATTTTAAGGGCTGTGAATTGAATGTACCAAGTAATGAAGTTAACCCCCAGAGAGTGCACAAAAAAAATTTTTAAATGCTTTGAAATCTCTTAAAAAAGGCAATTTCAAATACACCATATAGATCACAACAGCCAACAATTTTAAATTAAAAAGTATAAAAGCAATCATGTTTTATCGAAAAAAAAACCAAGTAAATTTAATTACCTATTTTGATTTGTTGATAAAAATAAAATTATGTTTTTATAGTATAAGTAGATGCTTACGAATAAAAAAAATTATATTTTATAAATGTTTAAACATAACTAGATAGATAACAATAAAAAGTTTTAAAAAATTGTTGGCAGCCGATATTTGACGCTTGCTAATTGAACATGTTACATACCTTTTTTAATATTTCTATAAGTATATAAGACGAAAAATGAAAAATGAGGCATAAAGTGTGTGTAAAAATTTTCGACTAATGGAAAATATAATGAAAAATGTCCTGAGTAATAAAAAAAACTAAAAATCAAATACGTCAAAAAATTTCAATAATGTGAAATTGAATTAGTTGAAAGGTAGGTTAGGCTATGATACAATAACATCGACCGTACTTTGTATAATACTATGTTGCCTTTAATTTTCGTGATCACGAATAATATACGATGCACCATAATGAGCATATTAATTTAATATATTTACACGAGACTTAACGATTTTAAGTACCAATAATACTTAGGCGCACGATGGCTTCGTCTTGAAGGGTTTGTCTGTCTGTATGTGCTCGGTACAATACTGTAACATTGTCGATAAATAATAACAAGCAGACGGATGTCGTCGAGACTAAACGGAAAATCCGATCGAGGTCTATATCCGAGAACACCAATCACCGGATACCCGGTATGGCTTGAAGGAGTTCTAGTAACCAAAATCTCTTTACGTGCACACTACGTGATTTACCACAATTAGTACTAATGATTAATTAACGTTATATTGTCGGTATTCGATGAGTTTATACATATTGTTAATTACTATTAATTCTTCCAACGAACACAATAAAATTCGTCGAATCGTCTTGTAAATGAACGGAACGATGTAAGACAATAGATAATAATAATAAGATGCCACGTAGAAAACGGATCAGAGTCGCCTACATTTGTTATAATAAATCGATTTATAATATATAATATGTCCCTATTCAATTTTATTTAAATGATATAGGAAGGTGCGTATAGTTATTGTTAAGTGCAAATATTGATCGTTGCTGAGTATTACAATACTATTGCTTTTACTATTTATATTAACTATCGAAATTGAGTTCAACCCAGGAAATTGTAATTATCATTATGACAATTGACAGCGTACGATCACCATTGGTGTTATCGATGTAGTTTTATACATTACGAAGTTAGACCGGAGTACCTGTTATTTGTAATATAATCACAGTTTTGACGGTAGCCGTCTGACCAATTTTTTTTTTTTTTTGACGCAGGTCACCAGACATCTTTTCGAGAAAAATCATGGATCGAAGCGCACCAGAGGGCAGTGTGGTTTGGACTTGGTCGCACTGAACATACAGAGGGGCCGAGATCACGGACTTCCGGCATACCCACGGTGGCGCGAAACGTGTGGATTCCCGAGGCCGAGGAGTTTCAGCGATCTGGAAGGACAAGTCGAAACGGCAACACTGCAAAGGATATCGAAACTGTACAAGTGCGTATACGATGTTGTGGACCCGACACTACGTACGGCAATGGCGGCTCCATGGGGTCTTATGGGGCGCGGTCCCTTCCCAAGTCCGTATTTCTAAAAAATTGTCCGCTGTTAAAACGAAATTACAAAAAGAAACATATCGAAAGTTTCCTGAAACTTATGACTAAGCCCCCCCCCCCCAATCTGTCTCTCGGCCGTCTCTGGCGTAACATATTTGTATAGATCCCCGATTCTGTGCAACCCGTTTATCGAGGATAACGTTATTAATACAATAAACATTACAATTAAATATGAAAGACCAACCCAACCGATCGTTGGTATCTCGTGTAAATTAAGTTTAGTATCTAAACAGTCTCTAGAGTTAAGACTCTAAAATAGAGACTTTTTCGTGACGTTTATCCACAAATTAATGAATGGGGTACAATAGACTGCTCCGAGATACTAGGGCTGATAAAACTAAGAGTTCCTAATAAAATCGCAAGTTCAAGTAATCCATTTTATAGTACTACCAAGTAAAATTAATTATACCTAAATCAGCTCTTTACGTCACCCCATCTACTCCTCTAATAAAATAAGTGGATTGATTAAAAACGAAAACAATTTTAATTTTTCAAAATATTTCTACCTTCGATTGTATTAATGATGCGTATATAAATACATGCGGTCAATGTAGTAAAGCAACAACTATGGGGCTATGCCCCCCCTCCCCCAGCCATGAAATTAGGAAAATTTGGAAACGCTTTCAATATGTTCTGTGGACGTAGATATGTAATTACGTAAGAAGTATTAAAATTGTAATTTATTGTCGGGAGAATGCTGCAAAAAGCATCAGCGTACCAAACTTATGAGGGATTCTAGTTAAGCCTCCCTATATATAACAAACTATCATCCCTACCCCCCCCCCCCAACATAATCCTGACTACGAGTGTATTATCATGGTATAATACACTATCCCCTAATAATGCATTTTAACACAATGTTTTTTAATCTTACCATTACGAATAAAATCAAAAATAAAAAAGTGCAAAATACGAATAATATCACTTTACAGCGATCAATATAATATGGCATGATATTAAAACAATCAAAATAATATATCAAAGTGTATTGTTATTATTAGTTTTGTTCAATAAATGAAAGTGCTCGTGAAATATATTATGCCTAATGGATGAATCATAAATCCATTATCCCGGATAATTCAGTGGATCCGGATTATGGGTTTTCATAGAACGCATATTCGGCGGGTTTCATTCCAGCGGTGTCCCGGGCACTGGGAATGGAGTTAAAAACGTTATCGTCGAACGTGAAAAAAATCTTGAGGCGCTCATCGTAAGTTAAGACAAAAAAATCCTCTTAAATGTCTCCAACACGCATGAAACGGTCCAGTCGTACGCCACGTGTTTTCAGACTAGAAGCTTTTGAATCGCCGGTAAACAGTTATTGTAGGTATACATAGGTAGGTACTGCAGGAATGTTATTTTAATTACAATATCAATTATGTATTTCATCATGTCAGAGTCGTTCGTGTGGTGTGCAACGCAAAGTTTTCGATTGAAATATATTTTAAGTTTGTAAACTCTAAACTCTCGGCGAACGTCGCATTAATACTCGACAAGCAATCTGGAAAGGGATAAAATGGAATTCATTAAAGTTTGCCGCGGCTTGCAGTCGAGTTTTCCTATATTTACGAACGCTCTAGCCACGTGTAACTGTGTACACATTATTATATATACCTACCTACTTGGGCAATTTCTAATGCTTATTAAAAAAGACGAGCCGCCGTGGTCGCTATTACGACTATGCCTAAGATGATAATAATAATAATAATAAGTTATATTATAATATTACGGTGGAAGCGAATATATTGGATACAAAGACGAAAAAAATTGTATAATATACAGATGGAGGATTATCGTACCGCTGAACATCGAGAGCGCATCGAATACGTTATTTTCGAGGGCACCGCTTGCAAGGAGGGGGAGGGGAAGAAATATACGTGGTTTCCCCCTCCAATCACTAGCTACTAGTTATAATCACTCAGTTATAATTTTTTTTTATTATTCTACCTATATATTATGCTTCACCTATGTTTTAAATAATGATTTTGCACCACAGTTGTGAAAATCTATCATCCATGATTATAAATTCACGCTTTTAGAGGTAAATATCGTGTCAGCCGATTATTTAGGTCCACTGCAGTAATACAGTAATATCTACTCATTTTAAAGATGTGCACTCACAGATACCAGGTGGCCTATTTTTTATAAGGCTTGCCAGATCATTATTTATCTCAAATACTCGGTTTCATTTGAAGTGAAAATAGCTATTATGTGTTTCTGATAGTTGATTAAAAATCGACGATTTCCCCAAACCTAAAAGTTATACTTTATAGTTTATCCAAAGACAATAGTATAAGACGCTCCGTGATTTAATGGGTGTTGATATTGTATCATTCCAAACTAAGTCCCCGGAACTTTTATCTTTACGAAAACAGTCCATATAAGTATATTATTATTGGTTGATTACTGATCGCGCGCCTTTATTATTATGCGCAATCGAAAACAGAAATATTTTGTTTGAATAAAAACCGTATGATGATCTTATCAACTGGAGAAACGAGTAACACAGCAATCTGCGGATAATCCCGAAAATTTTAATTTAAGATTTTGTGGTTTTGATTAAATATGATTATTTACTGGCGTGTGGTTCTAAACGATAATGCGATTCTAGATAAATCATGACGTGTGCGTTATTGATACATATCAGTGTTCGCCGTATTTAAGGGTGTGATTTTGGGAAAACTGTATATAGAAGTGTGTGGATTTGCACCGCGACCTTAATTTGAAAGTCTGCAGTTATGACGACCACCGATTAATACGAAGATTGATGACTACAATGGAGGGCGCTATATTTAAATATAAAAAACAAACCCCTACGAAAATCCTAGCTACCCGCCCTGTCTATAATACGCTTGCATGACACTAGTCCACTGTGAGGTTCCTACTATTACACTATTACCATGTAGTGGTCCGTGTTCAGAATTTGCTTGCCAATCATCGAATTATAAATAATATTGCCTAGGTCAAACGATTCAATCGGTATAGTCATTGATAATCACTTGACTACACTTTTGAGTAGTTTGGTATTTTATGGGAAGATCTTAACCACAAGCGGTATATATTGCATATATGGTGACACCGTGTCAATGTAATGTTGCATTGTATTTAATTTTATCATCATTATTATCGGTCTTCTATATTGTACTCGTATGCATAACAATATATGTCTGTCTGTAATTATTCAAAAACTCGGAACTACTGAACCGTTTTCAATGAAAGTTATATCAATTAATTACATGAGAATTGAAGGATGTTTAATGTTTATAGCTTATTTTTCAACCCCTATAGGTAGCTAAAAGGTAGCTCGAATTTTAATTTTGTTTTCAGCTCTCGAAAAAATAATATCTTTTTGTTTATTTAAATGTCTGCCATTGGTATTTGGTTACATATTATATTACTTAGTAGAAATAATAAAGCATATACAATTTTTTACAAATGTTTGTAAAAAAAAAAAAATGAATCTTTGACTAGGGCAACGATATTGTATAATAGTTAAAATAATTATGTCATGTAAGAAATGATATTTTATATCAGTATTTAAAAGTAATATATTTTTTAGTTTTGAAACTATATTACCTATAAAAATTAAGATGATGTGAAAACAATTTTATTTATATTACGATGCGTTTATATATTGTGTGTTGTGACACAGGTCGATCGACGACTTGGACCTGTACACAGGGCTGCTTTCCGAGAAGCCGCTGGAAGGAAGCATCTTGGGGCCGACAATCACATGCCTGTTGGCCGATCAATTCTTGCGGGTAAAATCGGGTGATCGTTATTGGTATGAGACGGACGAGAAACCTCAAGCGTTCAACGAGGGTGAATAAAACACACATTATGATAAAATAATATTATAGTATGAAAATACTCAGTTTGAATAAACAACGAAGCACTTCTCTTCTGGTGATCACTTCAACTGACCTACCCCTCCACATTCGCATCCTCTGGTAATACGCACACACACAAGCACCCCTCTGCAGACGTGGCCACGTAGATATATTATATAATTAGGACTGGGTTTTTAATGAACTTTGCATTTTATCCACTGCAAATACGATGCTCGTCTTGGTCCAAAAAAAAGGAGTGGGTTGCTGGTACATACCTAATACTTATATTATAGTCACTGAATACGCACATAAACTAAATTCAGCATCATCGAACTAATACAATATAAGCAAATTGTTATTCTAAATAATTTAAAAATAATATTATATTAATTATATTCACAGTGCATATTTAATTTTGAAGATTTTGTTACTAAACTTAATCATTTTTTAGTTTTTCAGTAAATTGTATAGATGGTTTGTTTTAAATTTTCGTAAAGCATAAATTCATTTGGACGTTTTCTTAGTTTTTTAGAACATCAAATTCCAAGCCCTAAAAATAATGTATGAATTGATCCATTTAACTAACTGCACTGTGTTTTGAAGTTTCAAATCAATTTTTATAGCCCCTAAAATAAGTTTTAAACTTGTAGGTATACTAGGTAGGTATATATTTTTATCATAATCACCTTTTAAGTTGTTAATGTTATGACTAGGGTCCAGATTTTTATCCAAATGCATATTCTTTTACGTTTGATTTATAATAATTTTGATTAAATATCTTGACTTTTCGTAAAACGTAGATTCGGCTGCCATTTTTTTTTTTTTGGTATATTTGCATCAAAATGCATAATAATTGCATATTTCTGGATGATTACATAAAATGTGCATGTTTAATAAATACTTAATAAAATATTTTAAATTTTACTCAACGTTTCATGTACATGCCGTTACCGACATTCCTGACAAATATAATTCGACCGAATAAAACAAAATATTTTAAGTTGTCGACTCATTTTTGGAATACAAGGTGATGCTACTTGACAATCATAGAAGTTTTCTATTTGATAGTTTAAATATTTAAATTATATTTTCTTTCACTTGATACTACATTTTTTAATTTGTTTTATGTGTTTGGTTTTTTAACACACAATACATTTTTTTTTTCATATTATTTTTGCATATTTTTGAATTTTTGAGTGCATATTTAACAATAATAAATTGTTGAATAAAAATCCATACCCTAGTCATAGAGACTTAAGCTTAATATGTAGCTACATATACGTAAGTATTTCTCAGTAAAAAACATTTAGTGTGATTGAAAAAACATTAATATTTTATAAAAATCTAATTATTCAAATTTTGATGTTAATAATATAAGTATAGGTATATTATACGGACTTATCACGAAGTAATCAGCAAATGAAATAAAGCGAATTGCGCTCGATTTAAAATGTTTGGGTTTTTCCGAAACAATGTTTTTACATAGTTCGAACGGCTTATATTCAAGTTATGTACAAAGTTTATACTACCCACTTTGTATTATTTGTATATATATATTATAAACCATCTCGGCTCTCGACCGCATCTAAGTCCCGTATCGCAAACGGCGGTAAAGTAGATACATAATAATAATGTTATTACCATGCGCGAGCTGTTCTTGCTCGCCGTCGTATAACATTTTCGTTTCCAATCAATATTATACATCATCATACAAATATATTGTACTCGACTGACATAAATGAACAAATACAACGTCATAATAATACATAATTTTAATATTTAATACGTGTGCGTGTGTTGTATGTGAACAGATCAGCTGTCAGAGATCCGAAAAACCACGTTTGCGGCAATAATTTGCGACAATTCCGACGAAATTGAATCCGTTCAGATGCACGTGATGCAAAGCGCCAGAAAAGTCGGCAACGGCAGAGTTGGTTGCGACAGTTTAATAAAAACGTCTCTCGACCCGTGGAAAGAAGAGTTCGACGTGGCCGTTCCTAAAGCCGCCCTTCAGGACCCGACCGCCACCCCTCAGGACTCGACCGCCACCCCTCAGGACACTACCACCACAGCTCAGGACTCCGCCACCGCCGCTGCCGAAGTCACAACCGGGAATAATATTAACAACACAGGATCGTAGTCGGCAGACGTTCTCGTCCTGCACCCGGTGAAAATCGGCTCCGGTCACGTGTAAGAACGTACATTTTTTTGAAGTTGGGTAGCCCAAAAATAAATTTAAAAAAATTAATAACACCTACCTTAATCATAATGTTATATAGGTCATATCTATGTAAAATTTGTATTAACTCACTCCGAACTCACGTACGGCTCAGAGTTTCGTCATTATATTATAATTTTTTTTCTACTATTGATTATACTCACAAATGGCAGAGACGGAAGGGCTTACGTGACCTTAGCCCCCTCGAAATAATATATATTTAAGTTAGTTTTATTAACAATTATATAAAATGTATAGTTTTTTTTTTTAAACTATTGTAAGACAAAAATGTATTATATTCGTTTAATACTAACGGTGATTAAAATTTGCACCATCATGATTTATTCCATTATTGTAGACTAACTAAGGGACTTCGGCACTCCCAGTTTTTTTATTGGATTTGAGCCACTGCGTTCAGCAGTTCCAATTTTGTGTAATTGGCTTTTGGAAATCGGAATCAACCCATTATCATTAAACCTAAAGGTAAGACATATTCTATATTTTGTTGGAAATGTAATTTCGATATTTTTATTTTGATACGAGGTTGTAAGGTTATCGAGCTTGTAATGTAAAACAGTTTAAAAATTCTGATAACTCGATGCAAAATTATCCCAGCAAACCACAGAGTATGTTGTTACCTTTAACATTTAAGTTTGATAAAACTCACAATAATATTAAAACATTTAAAACTAACGAATCTAAAACATGAAAACTGCTGAAATTAATTTTGCTAAATTATACGTGTCGTTTCTCGACGACTCACGACGACTTCCCAAGACGGAGACGACATATCAAATTTGCGTTCGGCAGTTCCACTTCAGTCTTCGCTTTGACACTAGACTGGATGATTATTAATACATTTTTATTCGTTTTGAAACACCAGAATCTATGAATTTTGGGAACGGGGGGAGGGATGATAAGTTACGATTAGTTATGAACAACACGCGTGCATGTACGGTGAGCCAGAAGAAGGATTCGCTAAAAACTCAAGAGGTCATCCATCCGGGAGCTAGCGACGCCAGACGATGCTTCACGGCAGTTCCCATTAGCGACTGCGGCCAACCACTGCGCCGTTCTTAGCTCCTGTTGATATAATATTATGTATGCGATCTCCCTTTGGTTTTTTTACAATTTTAAAATTTTTTAGCGAGTTATGAGGATTTTTAAACCGTACGATTTTACGTGCTTACAATACTTGCTTGAAACTTAAAATATCGTAAAAAACCACCGAGGGATCACAGATAATATAATGGTCCTTACCTGAAGTATGTAAAGATTAAATTTAATGTTGAAGCACACTACATCAAATTGGAACCGATGAATACACATTTGCAATATCTTTCGTTTACAAGACGGAGATGTCGACGCTTAAGTGACGAACTCTTAAAATAATAAATGATACATTAAATATTTTTAATATTTATAATTACTTACACGTAAATTATATATAATATATATATTATTATGTTTAAAGTGTATACATTACTATTTACTAGATATAGGTATATATAGTGTGTGTAGTGTATCTATTAGAGACGCTCTAATTGGTAAATTTTTTGGGATGTGGGGACTTTCCCCCCGCTTTCCTATTTTTAATCTCCACTCCCACCCTACATCAAAAAAAAAAAAAATACAATAAAATAAAAATATTTGCCAGAATTTTCACTTACGATACTCGCACTGATTTCCAGACGGACACGATGATCCGCCGTCATAATAATATTATAAAATTACGTACAAAAGACTTGATATACTCAAAAGTGGGCATTAACTAGTTAAATAGTTAATTTTTTCTTTGACTTTTTAAATTAAATAGTAGAAATAACTTAGCTTTTATCAGTTGATTCGAAAACAATGCATCAAGTGAAAAAAATGTTCTGTTTTTATGGTTTTATACGTAAATATTAATATTAAAATTGAAATAATCCAATGTGTACTTATTGTAACTACTATAATAATACAAACATTTAGTTATTTATCTTGGTGAACAAATTTTGTATACAAAAATATATAGGAATAATATTATGTATAATGTGACCTTAAATATAATGGCTATTTGATGTAAAAAATAAAAAAATTTTAATTTAATAATATTGAAGTAAGTACCTATATAGTTCAAATATTTAATAATCGTGTAAAGTAAAATAGATAAATACACTGCATATTACGATAAAAGTTAAATACCATTGTTTATTATAATTTAGGAAACTATAAAGAATGCAGCCTGCAGTCTACATGCGATCCACATACTAATTTAAAAAAATTGGTTAACTTTTTTTAAACTGAGTTAAGTTTTTTTTCCATACTAACTTTTAACTTGTCGAATTAAATTTATGATTTGTTAACTTCTAACTATATATCGATCGTGTTTTCTCTCGACTTGAGTCGACTATAATATATTCATTAACTTGCCCACCTTTGAGCGTATGTGCTCATAATATCCAATGTTATGGTATTGGGAGAGTCTAAATAAAACCATTTCGTCGTGTCTGCAGATATTATAGATAATAATCATTACAATATCATGACGTATTTTACGGTACAGGCCTGCTATCGCTATGATAATGATATTTATCATAATAATATACGAATATTAGAAAAATGTAATAACTCAAAGTGAACATTTTACGGTTTAAATAATACTCAAAGACTATACGAGACGAGACGGTACATTATCATTTCTTTGATGTGCATTCTTATTGTGAATACCTAGGTACTGTTTTTGCTTTGTAAGTACGATTTTTCCGTCATAAATATTATACGGGCGTCGTATGACAGTAATAATAATTGTTATCTTTGCGCAAACGTTAACAATTACGATTTTTTGTACCTACACTGAAATGTATATTTTTTTCTTTTTCAAATCATAAACGACTTAATATTATGTGCATTATCGTCATATTATTAATATTTAATGATGAGTATTAAAGCACATGGAACATAGTGAATTTTTAGTGCAAAAATGATATAAGTTATAATTTTTATGGTTTATAATATTCGATATTATTTATTACCTGTGAAAACAATAAAGTGTAAAAACTTCCAATCACAAACACGTTCCTATAATGAACTATAATTTGTTTTACAGTAGATAAAGTATTATAGCGTAAGCATCGTAAAATATGTAGCTGCCAAATTATAATAAACTACTAATAAAAATTTTAATGTTTATTGGAACCTATACATTTTAATAGGTAATTGGTATATTCATTTTTATAGGGCGACGAATTTAGTTTTTAAATAAATATGTTAAATTAATTTTGTAATGATTCCAAATGATTCCAAATTATCGGTTACGATTTACAGTTTTTCAGGTTTGGTTTGATTCTGGTGGGAACATTAAATTGAAAAAATATTTAGAAAATCAGAGTTTGCATAAGAATAATTTCGTTAGCGTGGTTCCATTAAATTTCGGCTAATGTACAACTTTCTTTGGTCAAATTCAATAACCACGGAGGCAATTAATTGGTTTATATTCAAAGCCGATCACACCGCTATACATATAGTGTGCACTATTTGTTTATATTTCATTGCATAAAAATATCAAAATTATTCTCAGCATAATCTGTAAGTACCAGCTATATCATTTTAAACACTTTAATATATGCATATAAAAAAATAAAAATTTGAATTTAAAAATGCTTACCAAGGATTTTTATTTTTTTTTTGGAAACTTATTAAATATCAGAAGTATATTTTATTTTGTTACAATACAGAATTAATAGGATGTCAGCCCAATATTTGTTTTAAGACTCACGATTTGTCTATAGATAAAACACTTTCATAAAAATCGTATTTTTATGATTTTTGAGCAATCATTTAGAGTAAAATCACCTATCACAACACTTATTGAGGATAATATTTTTGGAGGGTTTAACGTATCATTATAATTATTAATTATATTAATGTTTAAATTGATTTGAGCCGATATTTGTAGACGAATCAATATGTCTGTCCTGGAAAATATTATTCTCTATCTTATTTTTATAACAGGCTATTTTACTCTAAGATGACTCAAAAATATAAAAAAAAAATGATCTTAAAATGTTGTGCGTGGGCCAGAGAGGGAAAACAAACATTGCGTTGACATCCTCTTAAATCAAATCGTACTTTGGCAGTATTCGAAAACGAACGTTTTCTGAACTGGAGCGAACTTTTTTTTTCAAGTGCATATACAAAGTATCTATACAAAATTTGAGTTGTCCGTTTCTAGAACTACAACACTTTTTAATGCATTAGTTGTAGGTACTATTCTTATGGAACTCACCTCATACTTGTTAGCCGGGTTTTTGCCTTTGATACTTATCTACACATTGTGTGCAGTGTGCCATACACGTGGGGGGGGGTGTGTCAGGGAGCTATAATTCTGTGTCTGTAATAATAAGTAATAATACATACTAATGTCATGTAAATTGATTTAATTATGATTATTAAATCAAATTCATAAAATTGATAACTAACTTATATAAACATAAAGAAAACAATACCTAATAATATGTATAATAAACTCATGTACCTACTATATTGTATAATTGTCTTTATGTATTTGTATTGTAAAAAAAAAAAATTTTTTAAAAAATTTTAAAAAAATGATTTTTATTTTTTATTTTATTTTTTTATTTTTTACTGTTTTTAAATGTTTTTTTTCAAAATGTATTTTTTAATTTTTTTTTTTCCTAAAGACAATAATTATACAATATAGTAGTTACAGGAGCTTATTATACATATTATTAGGTATTGTTTTCTTCGTGTTCATATAAGTTAGTTATCAATTTATGAATTTGATTTAATAATCATAATTAAATCAATTTACATGACATTAGTATGTGTTATTACTTATTATTACAGACACAGAATTATATCTCCCTGGCACCAATGCTCAAATCAATAATAATTATCCTGGATTTACATTATACATCAGTCGGCCTAAAATAAAAATTTAACAGTAAGTACCTATTTATTATGTACTATCTTTGAGTAAATTTAAACTACAGAAATGTGCGTACGTCTAGCAATGTCTAGTTAATGTTAGTTTAACTTATTAAATAAAAATAAACAGTTGAAGGGGAGGAAATAGCTCTGTTGATGAATAATAAATGTAATTAACTAAATTTACATTATATACGAGAACCAGAGTTTAGAATTGTTTTTTTGTGCGTCGAGCTCAGTTACAGCTGTACTGTCAGCGTATAACTAAATGCAGACATTATGCCACTTATTAAATGAAAAATGTCTCTGTATGTGAATTACATATATTCGAAATTCTGTTGGTCAGAAGACTGAATGGTTTAGCAGCTCTATTAATGTTAATCGCGAAGTTGAGGAAGTAATCAAAGTATTGGCAAAACAAAACCGTCTTACTGACTTCATTTTGTAACTATGATTATATATTATGTACTTACAAATGTTTTATTTTATTTTTATTTGTATTGACTATTCTATCATAACATTGTGGTAGATGATTTTTTAGTGACGAGCTAAAAAAAGAACAAAAAAAGGTAAATTCGTGTACATTATTAAGAAGTATGACGCCCCCCTTAAAAAAATCCTACGCACGCCACCGATCGTGTGTGTGTGCTCTTACTTTTTTCGACGTACAGCTTTAAAGGTCTGTAGTGGGTGAACTGTTGAGGGTAAAAGTCTGAAACTTGTCACTGCACTTCTCCAAGCCAACGAGATTATAACAAGGCCTTAGACGACAAAATCCGTTTTCCGGGTTCGGAGAACTGCAATGCTGTGGAGAAAAAGCTAAATAAAATGTAATTTTTTTTTAAAGATCGAATAGTTAATTAATTTTGATGAACAACAGTCATCATCTTACACGTTGAATGGATCGCCCTCTACTACAATATTATGTTTTATTCTGTTGTCTTAATCTTGTCCAACGTGGGCACGTGGTCGAAGAAAGTAATATATTATTATAGTAATAATCGTGCAGGTCAACGCGCGTGTAAGCGTTATAATATTATTGTTCTTATATAATAACCTACCTACGGTTTTATTTATTGTTTCCCTAATAATTGTGTTTACCTACGTTCCCGTGGTCGACTAATAATGAGAAATGTGAAATACTCAAATTAGATTTAAAACCCCCGCACATTCTTCGCTGGGAATTTAATCTAGGGAAAAAATGTACCTTGATATATTTTTTTTTTAAATAAGAAACATTTTTCATTACGACAAAAGACAATTGCAGCGTTTCGTTCGCCACAAACACTCGTCTCCATATTTTCTATTCACCGCAAATATTGTGTATTATAAGAAATTCAAATATAATATAAAACCCCATCTTATAATTATAATTTTTAATTAAAAACGTTCTCTCACTTCACCTCGCCGACTGCTACGAGTAGGTATATTATATTAGTTGAATTATTCAAATTTACATTTTCACATTTTTTGGTTTGCGCGTAAAATATACATAATAATAATAATATATTCGTGCGGATTAAATATTATGGGCCCCCAACAGTGTTAATATTGTGGAATTTAACTTCCGGTGCCCTCGACCAATCATAAATAACGTTACCCATATTAAAATATCTCAACTAAAATATCTCGGCGCCGTTAATAGGTATGATTATTTTCTAGATTTCCACCGTAGATGCCTAGGCCACCGATTAAACCGCAATGGTTGTCAACAAAATAATGTTCTAATACAATATTATCGAACCCGAGTAGGTGGACGCCATTTTAATATTGTTTGATTCACAGTAAACATTGATGTAAAGGCATAAAGTGAAATTGTATGAATGTTATATAGAGAAGTAGGTATGTGCCTACATAACTTACCTATACTTGACTTAAAAATGTATCTAAAGTTTACACTTTATTTCGTAACAAAATGTGCAAAAAAAAAGAATTGATAAAAAAAAAAGGGGGAATACTCGTCCCCTGTAAGCTATCTCTTGTGTTGGGAAATTGAGTTCTGTTGGCAATATATTCGTTGATTCTGGGGAATACAAATAAAATTGTATACATATATACACTTTTTTTAGTATTCACCTATATAAATTGTACTAATATGTATTAATACGAACAAACGTGGTTTTTATGTTCAAACAACGCTCGGCTTATAAAAATATCATAAATAACATTAAGAGAAAAAATGTTTAGAGCAGCGATTCTCAACCGGGGGGTCGCCAACAATTATTTTAGGGTCGTCAATCCATGTGGGAAAAAAATTGTTTCACATAGAATCCTATAATTATTAATAGTAAGTGTTATAATATATATATATATTTTTTTTTGGATAGTCCGGTAGTCGATAAAAACGTTCATTGAAGTGTACATAATATACCTTTTTTTGTGAAATATATATACACAAATAAATACAATAATAACAGTTAGTTCAATTTTTTAATGCTTACATTATAAAAGGGTTGTTGGACATCTTGGTGACATTAGAGGGGGTCGCGAACTCAATAAGGTTGAGAATCGCTGGTTTAGAGTATATTAAACATTTGACGTTCAAATGAAATCTATTTACGTGTATAATTTTCCAAACACATCAAAATTGTGAAAACTTAAGATTTGTACATTGAATTGTATACACAAAACAATACCGACTACGAATTAAGACATATATTTTTATGCTACAGACGTACAACGGATCGTTTAATCTAAATTTGAGTTACACTTACGTGTAACTACATTTATGGTCAAATTTAAATCATTACGATAATAGCTGAAACAATAATCATGTTTACTCAGGTTTAAAAGCTAATATATATGCCTATGTGGAGAAATAAAAGTAATACACGTTAAAGAAACAACGGTGCCGCACGCCAGATCAAAAATTATACAAATGATAGGAACAACAAAAAAATTTCAAATTAATTTTCTAAAAAAATTAAAAGGCGTGACGACATATATGAAAAGGTAAGTTACTTATTTTATTACATATATCCATTTTCGGACGACAAAAAGGGATACAGCAGGTCCGTCACCCCAATACCACCAAATTAAATAATTAACTCGAAAAATGTCCTTTCATATTTTGTAACGGTTTGCAATCTTAATTTCAACAAATTTGCTGTCATTGTAAGTGAAATTTTCGGTGAACTTGCCAGCAGAATTTTATTAATAACCATCAATTCTACAATCGGTGAAAAACATTCAACAACAATTAATAGTAAATATATTTACTGAATACATAATTAAATTTACAAAATACTATAGTAAATTAAACAGTAAAAACATAAATAAATGCCAAAATAATTGTTTGGATGTAAAATATTAGAGAACGAAATTCAAAAATGCATACAATTCAAAGTAATATACAAGAACATTTATTCACTAAAAATAAGTAAAAAGAAAAACATTTAGCTTCATTAATAGAAACGTTATCATTGCTTGTACAAACCAAGAGAATTCTTATTGAAATATAAAGTTGTGAAATTGATACATTTTTTATTGCAACATTCCTATGTATAGTGGTACATTATAACCTATCGTGGCAATGACAATACTAGTTTCGGAAAACCCTATTTCTGCATCAGAATGTGTACAGGATTACGCAATAAATGAGTGCTCAAATGCAAAACGTTCTCGGGCATTGAATCAGTCAACAAAATTACCTGGATACTGATATCTTTCTCGAGCACCTTGAACACCTCATTAATTTGATCTTTGATGAGTCGATTCAAGGACTTATGAATTTCATCCAACACAGCTATCTTGATAAATTTAGTTCGTAAACATTTTCTTATAATTAAATTATAGACACAGGCGGGAGTGCCAACCACTATATGGGGTTGGTGGGAAAAACTGTCTACCGCTTTTATGTCATGTATGCACGCGTAACAATCTGCTTTCATAAAACCGCCGAAAGCAGTAACCACCTGACAAAAAGTGTTATATTATAAACATTTCAAAATATAATCATAAAAACTATGTTTACCTTATGAATCTGCAGAGCCAACTTCCGCGAAGGGGCCAAAATGAGTGCTTGGCACTCTTTCAAACTAGTATCGATTCGTTGAAGAATCGATATCATAACCGAAGTTGTTTTTCCAACACCAGACTGAGCATGAACAATAACATCATGTCCCTTGATGCATGGCAAAATAACGCGCTGTTGAATAGGTGATGGTTTTTCAAAACCATATTCATAGATACCGCGCAACAATTCTTCTTTTAAATTCTTCTCATGAAAGTTATCTACCACATCTTTCCAGTTGGACTCGATAGTTCCGCTGTCAACGGTGACGAGTGGTCCTGAGTAGTTATTGGTGTCACTAGATATGTAAAATTCATAGTCATATGCAAGACAATTTATTTACTAAAACTAGGTACCCTATGCACGTTAAGAACAAGACAAATTCACCATCTAAACTAGGTTTTTACCCATATTGTAATATAGGCGCCATGTTCATAACGTGCGATGAGTATAAGCAAAAAATAAAACATTGAACATCATTAAAAAGTGAAAACTGTCATTCCCTGTACGAACCAACCTAATTATTATTAAAAAAAAAAATTTTAAAAACACACTTTTCCATAAAAACATTTAAAAAAAAATTTTAAAAATTGCACTAAAAAGACAAAAATAATTCTCTGTACTTAAAAATAATGAAAAATTTATTGATGAAAAATTTAAAAGTGTGTGGTGCTCATACACTTGACATATATTCCCAGTCACTATCTTATAAACATGATTGAACAAAGAAGTGTATGTGAGACTTTCCTTGGCTTTTAAATTTTTCATCAGTAAATTTTTCATTATTTTGCTCTTATACTTGACATATACTGCCAGTCACTATCTTATAAACAGGATTGAACAAAGAAGTGTATGTGAGACTTAGCTCGGCTTTTAATGTTTTGTATGATGCACCACACACTTTTAAATTTTTCATCAATAAATTTTTCATTATTTTTAAGTACAGAGAATTATTTTTGTCTTTTTAGTGCAATTTTTAAAATTTTTTTTTAAATGTTTTTATGGAAAAGTGTGTTTTTAAAATTTTTTTTTTTA